AACCCTATTAACACTTAGTAAAGATTCTAACTGCAGTGTTTTAATTGTTTGTCTGGGTGGCCGCTGTTTCCATGAACGACCACGTGGTGGCGGCCATCTTGTTCTTCGAGTTCCTGGAACTAAAATCGGACACAGGAACTCCTGCATACCGCTAAACTTGCATCATCGTCTGTGATCGGATCTACACAACTTAGAAGGACACTGTTTGGTGGAATCGTTCATCTGGATGAGGGGAACAAGCTCCAGGGTAAGACTATAGACTATGTTCGGCTGTTTGTTCGGTTTTTAAACTACCGAACTAGACCGACCGCAAGCCCTGATTCTCTGGACAGCCTCTTGTGCTGTCAGTCAAACTATTACTTCCATGGAAATCCAAACATCTGAACCAATCTGGGTGATTTTGGGATATGTTGGTCATACAGATCGGGGCTATCAGGGGATGTGATTTTTTTATGGGGTTTCCATGTGTTTTGGGGGTACTTTCAGGATATTGTAAAATGTATGTTTTCTGTGCCTGGAGATAATTGAGTTTTGTACAGTTCCTAACCCAATTATCTCCCAGACACAGGGGAGGGATTATCTCATTTTGTGTGGGAGTGTCCTGGACCTGAGAGCAAACGTAATCATGTGTATATTTTTGCTGTAGTCTACTCTCCGGTCCAGTGGGGAATGACCCTGGAATGTGTTTGAGGAAACCCCTTACATGGGGACTGACATAAAAGGCTGTGTGTGGCTCCTATTAAACAGAACACTTTACCCTTTCATGAAGTCTAGGTTCATGTTTGGGGGATTCACTCTGGGGACTGCTGTAATCACTACTCCCTTGGATTACAACACTTGCTCTTTGTTCTCTAGACTAGGAGAGATCTACCCACTGGAAACTGGATCCTAGTCTTGGGTCCAGGGTGGGTGGAGGACAGCCAGACCCCAACCAAACTGCGATGTATATGGGGGGCAGTGTGTGCAGTGTGTGTATGGGGGGCAGTGTGTGTAGTGTGTGTATGGGGGCAGTGTATGGGGGGAAGGAGGGTAGGGAGGCTTTTTTAAAATGTAATTAAAATAAATATATACTTTATGTCCCCCCTCTTTTCTTACCTTTACTGGGAGGAGGGGGGACATTTCTGGATCCCTGGTGGTCCGGTGGTCCCAGTGGTAGGAGTGAACTCGCTCCAGGGCTAGAGCTCACTCTCGCGAGATTTGGAGAGTTGCCGTGGTAACTGCGGAAACACTCCAAGTCGCGAGAGGAGGACCCGGAGGAGCTGCAGACTGAGCTCCCGGGTCCTCTCTCACTCCCTCCCCCCGCCGGCTGCCAGCACAGTGCCTGCGGACCGGGGAGGGAGATATTTGATCTCCCTCCCTGATCCGCAGGCACATTGCAGGGTTGGCACTTGGACAATGCCAGCCCTGCATTAGCCGGCAGGGGAGAAGGGGGGGGGGCAATTGCCCCGTTGCCCTCCCCCCCCCTGGATCCGCCACTGTGTTAGTGTGTATATATGTGTGTGTATCTATATGAAGTCTGTGTGTGTATCTGTATATTGTCTTTTTGTGTTTCAGTGTATCTGTGAATTTGCATATGTGGCAGGTTGTGTATCTGTGTGTCAGCGTGCATATGTGTCTGTATATCTACATGTGTGCCAGAGTGTATATCTGTGTGTCTGCATGTGTTTCAGTGTCTAGATATCTCTCTGTGTGTGTATATGTGCATACATCTCAGCATTCACACACTAACCCTACACTCAAATACACCCCTGCATTCAAACTTCAACACTACATACAAACACATGTCTGTTTTACACACCATAATTATATGTAAATACACCCCTGCATTCAAAAACCAACACTACACATAAATACATGCTTGCAGTCACGCCAATACCACATACAAAAACCTGTTTACATTCAAAGACACAAAAACTGCAAATGCTTTGCCCAGGGTCCAGTCAATAAGAAAGAAGGCCCTAATCATACACAATGTTATAGCTCAGATACCCACAAGTAATACAATGTGTTGGTGAGTCTGTCTGCCATTTGCCTCGGTCAGAGGAGAAAGAGACACACAAACTGAATGCTACTCAGTGATTATATAATCGTGTGTAAACACAGAAACAAATGTCTATTTTTTAAAAGGCACTTTATATTTGCACTTTATGGTTTATACTTGTATTTCTCATATCACAGCCACATGTGTGGAATTGTTTTAAAGGTATAGCACACCTTATATTTATATTATTTTCAGAAGATGTTATTGTCTAGAATAAATTCCATATTTCTGATGCCTGCCAATATTAGACCAAATAACAGCAGGTGTTTAACTAATAATGAGTGGGATGTATAATTTATATGTTGCTATGCAGTACTAAAACTAATTTTAAATATAGGGACTTGTTAACATGCTTTAAAAAAGTGCAGATTTCAATAGAAATTGGCACTTTTATAAATTAACCTTGATTACACCCCCTGGCTTTTAAGCAAGCGGTCCTGTTACTTCCTGGTTTGGTTAGCTCAGTGGAGCTAAACTCAAGGGGCAGTAACAGCCCAGAGCACTTGCCTTGCAAAGACTTCTCATTGAGCTGCATTGGGTATTGGACAGTCACAGAGAGTCTGGGACTGTGGAAGAAGGGGAGGCATTTGCAAACTGTTTTTAGATATTAGATTTAAAATATGCATAATTAAATGCATGCATGTTTTAATTTGGGGTATATCTACTAAACAGTGTTTCTGTTATTTTTTTGACAATGGAGTGTACCTTTAACGGTTATCTAAGGCTCGTAAGATTTGACATACTTGTTCAAAGCTTCCTGGGCGATGCTTGTGGTTTTTGCTGTATAATTGTCTGTAAAGGAATGACCCTTGTCTGTATTCTGTTTAGAAATCTCTCCTCTGATCAAGGGTTTGCTTTCTGAATTAATGATCAATAAACAATATTTTATCAGTGTTTCTCTGGCCTTGCTGTCCAGAGAAACTTGTCAACATGATCACAAGACAAATTGCAGAACTCATGATTTAATCCCCCGTTCTTCGTACTGCACACGTGGTCATGTTAGAACATAGTTTGCAAAATGTTGAATAATCATTTGTTCAATCATAAATCTAATGCACTTTGACTCATCATTGAAAGAAATGCATGACATAGAATTTTAAGAATGTATTAAAGGGACATTATAATCAACAGAAAAACTACAGCTTAATGTAGTTGTTCTGGTGTCCATACCATGTCCCTGCAGGCATTTTGTCGTAATCAAATTGTTTGCCTTTTCAGAGAAAGGGCAGTGTTTACATTGCAATCTAGGAACACCTCTAGTGACCCACACTTCTCAGACGGCCACTATAGGTGCTTCCTAGCTCAGTTCTGCACACAGTGCAGCACTGATGGTAAACATCTCCACTCTGAACTTTCCTCATAGAGATTTATTATTTAATGCATCCCTATGAGGAGATGCTGATTGGCCACGGTGGCTTTTGGCTCTGCACCCTGCCTCCTTGGTTGAGATCATCAGAATTGACGAGCTCAGCCAATCCTTTAACTAAGCTTGATGAATGTTCTAACAGTCTACCAGTAAGCCACACTATCTAATATGTGTATACAGAAAGCAAAGATCTTTTTAAAAGGGAACTGTGAAACTTGCACCACTAAATAAAACGTTGAAAATCAGCTAAAACTTGTGTTAACCTCTTTTTTTGTTTGTTCAGGAGATACTCCTTTTAAAAATGTTTAAATGGATCAATCTCATAAGAGCAGGCATTAGGCTGCTAGAGTAGGACCTGCCAAGAATGGGGAACATTGACGTTGTGGCAGGCTTATGCAATGCATGATCATATACTGTAACTAAACCCCCTTTATCTTTTGCCTAGGTTATGTATTTTTAAATAAAACCATTATGTTCTGTGAGACTTGACATTGCTGTTTAGTGGTTGAGCGAGTGTGCTGGATCTTGTATATATATATTATCACTGGGAACTATTTGATATTTATGTGAAGCAAGGGCTACATAGCTAACATCTAATCACATCATAACGCAGCAATTCTAAACAATTACATTTATGTAAATATGCACATTTTTTGTTTTGCAATTATTCGTGATTAATATAAATATTTGTGAAATTAAACATTTTAGACAGTATACTTCACACAGGATCTAAAATGTTGTGTAAAAGCAAAACTGCAATGTTTCTCACATAAAATGAGTGTGACAAAAATAGATTACAAAAAATTCTCAAATACTTTGTTTATAGGCATGTGAAGGGCCCTGAAGGCTTTACTAGCAGTTCACCCGGAAATGACAACAGAATGTAAAAAGAATGTTTGCATTTGAGCATAATGCCCACACACAGCATTTTCAATTACATCATATATTTCTAAAATAAAAACATTTCAAACTATAGTTATCTTTATCAATTTCTGGAATGATAATGTAATGCTAACAGTAAAATGGTAAAAGCCATTCACTTCTAACCTCTCCCTGATTGTAGGAATGATATTACCCATTAAACTTCCTGTACAGTTTGGAAGGAGGTAGCAAGCAGACCTTTTCAGCAATACAAACAATTTATCAATACCCCCACCCTCATTTATTTCCCAGACAGAAAATTGTTCTATTTCCCTTTTCTTATTTCTGCAACTCTAAATTTGTCAGTTTTCAGAAATTGACTTTTTTTTGCGAAAACTGGTGGTGTTTACTAGAAAGAAAAGTGTCTCTTTTTCTTTTGCATCACTTGTAGAACACTTTAATAAATATGACCTCACAAATACATATTTGTTAAATATTGGGGTAAGTAATATTTAAATGATATTATTTAAAATAGTGTTAAAAAAACCTTGAACAAAATGTTTCAACGCTAATGGGCTAATATGAACAAATTTTGTTTTTCTGACCTGTTATAGATCATGATATAACAAGTCGATATGATCAGCAGGACATAACACATTGTTCTCGGTTAATAACTAACATGTTTCTCCAGGAACTTTGAAACATACTTTAGAACTGGACATACAGAGGCTGCTATCAGTCATGAAGTGCGCTACAGCAGCACGTGACACATGATGAAATTGCAGTTTCTTTTCTTTCAAAACAGATGAAAAATTGAAGTTCCTGGGTGAGTATCATCTGCAAGTTTTAGATTCAAATCCACCGATGTCTATTAAAGTTGATCTATCCGCCGATGTCAAGGATCCCATAAGGTAAGTTATTCTAGTCAGTTTATACATTTAGCTATTTGCAATTCACCTGCAAATGTATCAGTTTACTTGTGTTCTAACATGACTTTGCCTGCAGCGTTTGCATTCTGCGCATGTTGTTTCTGTATAGATGCATATAACATAAAGGTATATTACTACAGCTTATTGTATTATTGCAACTTATTGTATTATTACAGCTTATTGTATTATTACAGCTCATTTTATTATTACAGCGCATCAAGGTAAAATTCAAGTAAAATAACACTGATGCAGAAACTTGAAGTTCTAATCTGCTAAATACTGGCGTTGTAAGTGACTTTTATAAACAAGGTTTAAAGAAAAATTATATTAAATGAAATCATGCATTAACAGAGTGTCAGGATAAACGAATGCCCAACACGTAGAACTTAAGTAAAAAATAAAGAAAACCCTAAGACGTATTACCGGCCTTAGACTGGCCAGATTTTAACGTATAAAAAGATAAACCACAAGAACAAAGAAATCACGGAAACTATAAATAAGCCAAAAGTTGAGGGATCTAGAGGTCAGAATAGTCAGGAGCCAAGCTAAAGGTCAAGGGATATAGAGATCGGATAGTCAATACGAAAGCCAAGGTCAAAATACACATGAATCAATACCAGAAGCGTGCTCTCGGATAGCCAGAATGAAAACCACGACAGAGAAATGGACAAAAAAGGATTATATAGCCTAAGGTGCTCCCTGATTGGCTGCAGTGAAGCATGTGATAGTGAATGTGTGTGTGTGTCATCACCCACACGTTCCAAATGGTATGGCACTATAAGGGTTAATAACCAAACCCTTACCCTTAAAAGGATCTAACTTGCAGCGGCCGTTGTCTCTAATGATTACAGACCCGGCCGCTGTGTGAGGGGGAGAAGTTCCTGTCAGAGGCATCTCAGGAGGAGGTGAGTGATAGGCAGCATTCCCATTACCACGTAGGAATGCCGCCACAACGAGATGCACCCGTCGGATCCCATTCCGCTCCCGGGTATGAGTGGACCCGGCAGGTGCCTGCAGATCTGATAAGTATTCGCCGGCTTGATGTGAGGGAATGCCGCCGCAACGATGCGCACCTGCTGGGACCAATATTGCTCTCTGGCAGGAGTTGACCTGCCGGGCGGCGTGACACAGAGCTGCTTCGGTTCTTCTAATAAGTATGGATTTGGGACTCCGTTTATCTCCCTCTAAAACCATATGGAACTTAAAATTCCTTTCTCTACAACCCGTGAAGTTTATATTATAATTGTACTGATGCCTCTGCTTCTTCTTCCTTTCCATGGCTGATGGATTTTGAGTTAGAAAAAAAATAAAAAAGGTCGCTGAGGTCTCCTCTATCCACTTTTAAAGGGAAACTCCAGTGCCAGGAAAACAATCCGTTTTAATGGCACTGCAGGTCCCCTCTCACCCCCCAATCCCTGGTTGCTGAAGGGGTGAAAACCCCTTCAGTAACTTACCTTAGGCAGCGACAATGTCCCACATCACTGCTTCTCCCTCCGCCGCCGCTCCTCCTAGTGATTGCGTCAGCCGGTGGACATTAGAGCTCCCCCTAGGAAAGCATTGAAAATGCTTTTCAATGCTTTCCTATGGGGAAATGAGCGACGCTGGAGGTCCTCACACAGCGTGAGGACGTCCAGCGATGCTCTAGCACAGGTTTGATCCAGCAAGTGCTATGATCCAGGAAGTGCCCTCTAGTGGCTGTCTAGTAGACAGCCATTAGAGGTGGAGTTAACCCTGCAAGGTAATTATTGCAGTTTATAAAAACCTGCAATAATTACACTTGCAGGGTTAAGGGTAGTGGGAGTTGGCACCCAGACCACTCCAATGGGCAGAAGTGGTCTGGGTGCCTGGAGTGTCCCTTTAATCATATCTTGTACAACACAAGGAATGAATACACCAACATTAGTGGTTTTGTCGCACCATAATGTTAGAGTGAGCTGAGCCCACCAACTGATTATTATTATATTTATATAGCGCCAACAAATTCTGTAGCGCTTTACAATGGGTGGACTAACAAACATGTAATTGTAACCAGAGAAGTTTAACGCACAGAAACAGAGGGGTTGAGGTCCCTGCTCAATGAACTTACATGCTAGAAGGAGTGGGGTAAAGTGACACAAAATGTAATCTATAGTATCTATAGTGTCCTCATAGAGGTGGGCTCTAACTTAATTTTATCCATGATCGATAATTAATATTATGCTAATCCACATTGCTTAACAAGATCAGATGCCTACTGTGTACTTTTCCCCATGACACTCTGGGACACACAACCCCAAAATGTTTTGTTTAATGGTAATGTCTTCATTGTTTAAAGGGACACTCCAGGCTTTCACACGTACAAGTCCATAATCCATCTATTTTTAAAAATTAATCTCAAGTTTTGTGCCATGAGCTCTCCCTCTGTTTCAACCTTCCAGTTTTTAAATTTTTCTCCAAAAATACTGTTGACCTTGATGTTGCGACTCAGGGTTCTCAGAGCGGTAGTGTGGATAATTGTTTGTTGTTTTTTTTTTACAGGTGAAAGCTTTTAATTAAACTACAACCTCCATGAACCTTTCTGTTCTCATAAAGCACTGCTTACAGTATAAGCTCTGTGAATGGTAAGTGGGCATTTTGAAGTAGTTGATGTGGCTGTAAAGTATATGATTCAACTGTATGTGGGCATTATGCTTAAATGCAGACACTGATTATTGCCATTTTTAGTAAGCCATACTGCTGGCAATGCCTTCAAGAGTCTTTCAAATACCTATAAACAAGGTATTTGACCATTTTTATTTATCTATTTGTGACACCTACTGAATGCAAGAAAAATAGCATTTTTGCTTTTATACTAACAATTTACCCTGTGTGAAATATTGTAAGATAAAGGACATTGTATACTGTCTATATCTGTTCATTTCCCAAATATTTTTTTTATAAATGCTGAACGAATAAGTAAAAATTAAAAATGTTTGTAAATTCACAAAATCATAATTTAAATGTATACATTTGTTTGTAGAGCATTATATACACAATTGCTGTGGTCTGATATGTTTAAATACTAGCAATGTATCTCTTGCTTCAAATACACCATACTAAAATGCTTATAATCAAAAAGCATTGAAGGTAAAGCAATATTTAATTAATACACAACTCTGTTTATATTTTGAGAATATTCAGTGCCTGATTTGTAGGCATATTTTAATTCCCAGTGATGACTCAGGTACAATTGGTAAAACATGTTGGGGAATCAATCACGGCAAATTATGAAGAATAATACCATCAACTCACGGGGTTATTGTCTGCCAATGACACAGAAAGGGACATTACATATTTCTGTACATTCCGAGTGGAGTGTTTTTCCATTTTCCTCTTGTTATACCTGGTTATTCATTAATATATGATTTGTTAGGAATTTAAAGTTCATTTAGAAATTTAGGCCACAGTTATAATACGCCTATTTATTATTATTACTTGGAAAATATTAGATTTCATCTTATACATAAGAAAAAAAAAGGTAAAAGGAAATCAAATTCTGTCTATTTCGAACTTGTTAACCTTCCTGTATTTTTCAGTTTGTCTGTCAGGTGAGCTGTCTTCTCACACTCACTGATTTTTGTTTCCATTTTGATTTATTATCATTTACCTTTCTTCTTTGTAAACTCAACAAGCCTGTTTCAGTAACAATATCAGCATTACTGGCATTCCCCCCAAACTCAGTCTCATCACGTTACTTCTGCTGCATTCAAGCTATATATTAAACACTGTGACAACTAATTAGGTTTGAACATTTTTGGGGAAGATGAGAGGCAGAGGCACGCTTTCTGGAATTCACGGAAAAGATGAGTGGATTATTCTGAATTGAACAAAGTCAGTGGGATAAACTAAGGAAAGGGTCAAGAACATGAAGTCAGTCCTTAAAGGACCACTATAGGCACCCAGACCACATCAGCTCAATGAAGTGGTCTGGGTGCCAGGTCCATCTAGGGTTAACCCTGCAGCTGTAAACATAGCAGTTTCAGAGAGATATGTTTACATATGGGTTAATCCAGTCTCTAGTGGCTGTCTCATTGACAGCCGCTAGAGGCACTTCCACGCTTCTCACTGTGATTTTCACAGTGAGAAGAAGCCAGAGTCCATAGGAAAGCATTGAGAATGCTTTCCTATGGACTGACTGAATGCGCGCACGACTCTTGACGCGCATGCGCATTCATCGGAAGAGGGAGGAGAGTCCCCAGCGCCGAGGTAGCCCGGTGCTGGAGAAAGGTAATTGAATAACCTCTTCCTCCCCCTGGAGCCTGGCGGGAGGGGGGCCATGATGGTGGGGGGATCTATTAACACTATAGTGCCAGGAAAACAAGTTTGTTTTCCTGGCACTATAGTGGTCCTTTAACCCACAAAATGTGCCTCAGTCACCTCAAATATGAGAAAAAACATATGTTAAACTACTTAGACATGCCCCAAAACACAGACTGATCCATCCATCCCAATGTTATTTGACCATGAGCAAGCATACATAAAAGGGACACTATAGACACCAAAACAACTTTAGCTTAATGAAGCAGTTTTGGTATACAGATCATGTCCCTGCAATCTCACAGCTCAATTCTCTGCTATGTAGGAGTTAAATCACTTTTGTTTCTGTTTATACAGCTCTCACCACACGTCTCCCGGCTGTGACTCACACAGTCTGAATGAAAAAAAACGGTGTAATTTAATCAGATCACTGGCATTATAGTGTATTTACTCCAGACGTTATTTTAACTCCTGCTCTGTTAATAGAACTTTAATGACACACAGGAGGCTCCAGCAGGCTCTAGCAGGTCTTGAGTGATTGAACTCTTCCTCGGGCTCCCTTCTGTCAGCTGGTGACAGAATTGGTGGCCACAGACTGACCAATGGTCTGATTGTTGAGCTCAAAGTGAGCATGTCAAGGTTTTGTGTATGGAACCCAAAAATGCAGAACTTGCACTAGCAAAATAATAAACAAAAGTCCAAACAAACAAATTAAATAGGGCAAGGCAAAGGCAGAGTCAGGCAATCCCAGGTTCAAAGTCCAGGCAGCAAAGGTTCAGTAAGGGTGAGGCAATCCAAGGTCAGGGAACAGATAGTTGGAAAACAGGTAACACAGGTAACAGTAGGATATAGCACAGAACAACTGAGCAACAAAGACTCAGGTGTTCCAGGTTTAAAAAGGCAGCCAGATTGAAAGCCCACCTACTTTGACAAGCTTTCATAACACGCTATTGGTGTATGGGGCTGTCTAACATCTGGGGATGAAATGAGGAAGTGATTACCTATTAATTTGTTCCAGCCTTGCTGTTCTGCGGTGTGGAACGATCGTGCATGCCTCCCAGCTTCAATGGTTGCCTGGTAGACATGACTAGATCGGAGTTCATAGGTCGGGGCCCACCCCATGCCATCGCGCATGCGTGCGTTAGGGCGGCCTCAATCTGGAGATGCCGCCAGAGCAGCAAGGGAACGAAGGTAAGTCCTGACAGAGTGTTGCAAACAGGTATTTAAATGGGGATTTAAGTCCCCATTATTACAAATCCATTTGAGCATGGTTAATAACCTTCTCACACCAGGGAATCACCGGTATTAATGGAGACTTGGGGCTCTTCTCTTTCACCTGGAGCCAATTTTAGTGGCCCCAGACTGGCAGGTGAGCTGCATGCAGAGCTCAGAGCAAAATTGGCATACAGCTCTTATAGTGAGGATTTAAATCCCCAAAGACAGCGATGTAGTGTGAGCAGGGTTAGACTCCTCTCTGTCAACTGGGGCCACCTTAGAGGATCCAGTTGACTGATAGTCAACACTGCAGCTGAACGATCACGCTTAGCTACAGTGACTCTCTCACTGGATATGGTGATTGGGAAACGGCAAGGGGGTTAAGCTTAAGTTGTTTTCGTGCTTATAGTGTTCCTTTAAATGTTACATTAATTCAGTGCCTATAGAAACTTAGAAACCGGATATAAATAAAGTTTGTGCTTTCGATAAATTGTAATTGAAGTATGTATTATAGGAAATAATATCTTCAGAGTCTTTATTTTCCCTGGATAACAATTTCAACATTCTTTATCTTTTATATTACACAGTCCCTGTACTGTACGGTGGTCGTCAATCGTTTTGTGCAACATGTGAGTCTAAAACTTGATGCGCCCATAGAATTAATGGAACTAAATCATATTTTAAAACACAATTTACAGAAAGATAAATGTAACTGACCATATAACAACACATTTCTCCTTAACAGAGAGCAGATCCCTGGCCGAGAAACTCCAACCATTGATAATAGCGTAGAGTTGAAAAGGATGGTCGTCTCATTGGTCAGACTGTCCTCCGGAGCTGTTCAGTTATCCACAGATCGATGCTGCAGCTGGCTGCAAAGTTAAACGTGACTTAACTCTCTTAAAGTAGAGGTTCTTGAAAAAAAAAAAGAGAAGTATTTTGTTACCCAAACTGTGGTCATCATTGTAAAAATAAAACTTCCTTAAAGGACAACTGTCCTCAAATTTTTAAACCTCGTTTTTTATTTCTTTTTAAAGTTGATTAAATCTAGCAAAATTTTAATGAAACCGTTCAACCTTACCTCTGCTTTGATTGCCCTGTGCGAAACTGCAAGTTAAGCTGAGCGGCAGTTGGCCAGATAACAGTAGAATCTGACCCAACATGGCTGCTTAGCCTGGTAAAAAAAAAAAAAAAAAGTAAAATTTTCTAAAAAAAAAAATCAATATGCATCATTTAAAAGAAAATAAAAACAATCATTATGTTTCATTAATGTAATAAGCTTGAAAAAACAAACTAACCAAGAAGCGTATATTTGATGACAATTGTCCTTAAAAACCTTGGATTACTAGAACTATAGATTTGGTGGACACTAGCTTACATGACATCTTTTTTGGTTCTCTATAATATCCACCAGAAAGTTGTTGTTTTTTCATCTCTAAAACCTTATAAATGTGTAAGGATAAAGGTTGACTTAATCTTCATGACCAATGCCAAACGATGTAATGCAGCTGAATAGCGCAGTAACGTGAAGCACGTGAATTATATTTTTTCTTTTCTTTTTTTTAACTTGTTCGAGTGACATTTAATATGATTTCATTGTAGCTATGCAAATCTCTTTTCAGGTAAGTGAAAACAAGCTTTTCTGGTAGTTTTATGTCACGTTTCTCAGATTTTCTATCAATGAGTTAGTAAATGACAACATACTACATGACCTCTGGGTGTAGTTTATACGAACAGATTTTGAGATAATCACTCTAGTAACGTTCTCAGACAGAAAATTAAATTTGCAATGTAGACACATCAAACACAATAAATTATCTTTCTTATTCTTGTGTTTGAGAGCAGTTACCAAGCTGGTATTTTACTGGCATTAGAGTAAAAAAGAAACAGAAAAAAGCGACATTACTAAAGATCAACTAACACAGCACAAAAGTAATTTCATTAATCAGATAAAAAAAAATTATAATTCTTCCATATCAATCTGCAGGTAGAAATGGAAGCCATGCTTTCTCAACTAAAGCTTACTGGAAGTGTGCGTGTATATGACGTCAGGGCGCGATAACGCGTTTCGCCAGTATAATCCTTCCTCAAATCTCTAAGGAATAATCTGAAGAAGCAGAATATGCTGACAAAACGCGGAATCGCACCCTGACGTCAAATGCACGCACGCTGCTAGTAAGCTCCATCCCCCCAGTACGATCAAAGCATCTCTGGACACCCCACACAGCCGGCAAGTGACAGGGTGTCCAGAAGGAAAGATTCAACTAAAGGGAACCAAGTGCATGGGAGTATTAACAGCCGTTGCTTTTATTGCTGATTGGTATAAGGTCTGAGTATCTTAACCACAGAACATGGCATATTGTTTGGAGTGAATATTGTTAGAGCAGATTGTGCTGCTCTGTGTCTGTGAGTGTTTTTCCTTCCTTTATTTATGACTTTATGTGAACTGGCAATATTGCCCTATTGTGTTTCTTTTTCTTTTTTGAGATACTAAATTGAAGCTATCTACCTGTCTAATCCATTGTATGTGGATATCCACTGATCTATCTACCTGTCTAATCTATTGCAGGACTTCTCGCGGGTGTCTCCCTTCCTATGCAATAGCCTGCCTCTCCGATAGTCTTCAATCCTTTAAGAAATGCCTTAAAACCCATCTCTTTAGGAATGCTTATGGCCTCCCAGAGTAACCTCTACCTTACATACCTGTCTCTTGCTCTCTACTATAGGGCAGCACTCTACTCTCTCCTCCAGCTCTGCTTTACTCCCATCCTATCTGATTGCTATTTCCTGTCCTATTGTGTTTTACACCCCACCTCCTATAGACTGTAAGCTCGTTTGAGCAGGGTCCTTTTAACCTATCGTTTCTGTAAGTTTTCTTGTAATTGTCCTATTTATAGTTAAATCCCCCCCTCTCATAATATTGTAAAGTGCTACGGAATCTGTTGGCGCTATATAAATGGCAATAATAATAATAATAATATTCTATCTACCCATCTGAATGCATTGTATGTGGATATACACTGATCTATCTACCTGTGTAACGCATTGTATGTGGATATACACTGATCTATCTACCTGTGTAACGCATTGTATGTGGATATACACTGATCTATCTACCTGTGTAACGCATTGTATGTGGATATACACTGATCTATCTACCTGTGTAACGCATTGTATGTGGATATACACTGATCTATCTACCTGTGTAACGCATTGTATGTGGATATACACTGATCTATCTACCTGTGTAACGCATTGTATGTGGATATACACTGATCTATCTACCTGTGTAACGCATTGTATCTGGATATACACTGATCTATCTACCTGTGTAACGCATTGTATGTGGATATACACTGATCTATCTACCTGTGTAACGCATTGTATGTGGATATACACTGATCAATCTATCTACCTGTGTAACGCATTGTATGTGGATATACACTGATCTATCTACCTGTGTAACGCATTGTATGTGGATATACACTGATCTATCTACCTGTGTAACGCATTGTATGTGGATATACACTGATCTATCTACCTGTGTAACGCATTTTATGTGGATATACACTGATCTATCTACCTGTGTAACGCATTGTATGTGGATATACACTGATCTATCTACCTGTGTAACGCATTGTATGTGGATATACACTGATCTATCTACCTGTGTAACGCATTGTATGTGGATATACACTGATCTATCTACCTGTGTAACGCATTGTATGTGGATATACACTGATCTATCTACCTGTGTAACGCATTGTATGTGGATATATACTATATATGTTAGTGGATTGTTGCACTTTACACTGTTTTTGCACAGTTAATTATAGCAGTTTGTTGTATTATTTGCACACTGCTGCATTAGCACTCTTGGTAATGTGCACTTTAATAGGTATTATTGGCATTTTATTTATATTCACTTATTTATATTATAAAATTAGTGGTTTTAACATCACATTGCACTATTTGTGTATTATCTATTGACCTAAATACACAGTGCATATTTTATTTCTTATCTTGTGTGTTATGAGCTTGTACAAATTATAGTTTATTTTTCTTATTTAATTTTTTAGCTCCGTTATTTTTACCTGCTTAGTTTATATATACTGTTGTTTTATTTGCTGGCAGACTGGACAGAGTGACCCTTGCCCTTTATAACCAAATTTCTGGAAAATTCACGTAATGTCACATAATGTTAACTGCATGATTAATCAGCAGCACTTGTTGTGACTCTGGGCACATTCATCAGGTTTTCAGAGATTTCTAACAATATGTGTCCAATATATGTTTTTGGACACGTTTTTAAAATGATCACAATCTGTTAGAAAAACTTTTCAAGTGATTTATCTTAAAGGAACATGATAGGGTCAGGAACACAAACATTTATTTCTGACCCTATAGTGTTTAATTCACCATTTAAGTTGCTTGCCCCCCCTTAGCTCCCTTAGAAAGGGTGAAAACTCACCTTATTTCCAGCACCGTGCAGGCCACTCCACGCTGGCTCAGCCGATCCGCGTCCTTGGTGACATAACCAGAATTGCTGATTTTTAGCTAATCCAATGCTCTCCCATAGGGAAAGCATCGGATTGGCTGAAATCGGCAAGGAGGTGGGATGGGGCCAAACACCATTTTAGCAATCTCTATGAGGAAAATTCAGTGTACACATGCAGAGCGTGGAGACGCTGAACGGCAGTACTGTCTACTGTGCAGCACTAGGGGGCAATGTAAAAGGCAGTGTTTGCATTAAAATGCCTGCAGGCATTGGCGGAACTACCGCGGTCTCAGGGATCGCAGCTGCGACCGGGCCCGTCACTCCAGGGGCCCGACGACCCTGTAGACCCCTGCAACCGGGGTACCCACCAGCATTTTTGTGCTGCCCATGGTGCGGCCCATGGTCTTGGGGCCACCCGATGGCAATGGATTTCCTGGGGCCCGGTCAGTGCTGCGGTGCTTTAGTAATGATGTCAGTAATGATGTCAGAGCTGGGAGGAAGCCGTCAATTCCTCCCAGCCAACGGTGCGCCGCGCAGGAGGAGAGGAGGAAGTCAAAGTGGAAGCTCTGACTCCCATCAGCATGAGGCAGCCACTGGACCCCAGGTAAGTCACTAAATTTTTTTAACAGTGTGTGTGTGTTTCTGTATATCTGTATGTGTGTTTGTGTGTCTGTATGTGTGTGTTTCTGTATATCTGTATGTATGTGTGTCTGTATGTATGTGTCATGATCTTGTACAGGTCAGGTAGGAGACGATTGTGTGTGTAAGTCTGTGTGTTTCTGTATATGTGTTTGTGTGTGTGTGTGTCTGTATGTGTGTGTTTCTGTATATCTGTATGTGTGTTTGTGTGTGTGTGTGTGTGTTTGTATGTGTGTGTTTCTGTATATCTGTAAGTATGTGTGTCTGTATGTGTCATGATCTTGTACAAGTCAGGTAGGAGACGATTGCCAGGGTTAACATCAGGATCTTTATTGCGGTCTTCCGACTTTATAAAATAAACACTATATCCGATGGGATAACAGGTAAAACTATAAATTAAGTTATAGGTTGGAGAATTAAGAATAACCTATAAGAGAAATTAGAGGCAAGTAAGTTGAAGGTATACCGAAAACAGGAGTTAGGCAATCTGCCCCAAATAGAATACAATCAGGAATGGAAGTAACTAATAAGAAAACCTATAGATATAAAAGTATAGCTTACATAGAAGGAGAAATTAGACAGAATAATAAGATTGCAGGAAAAGGAGAACTGAAGTTAATAAGCCCCCTTTAGAAATAAGGTTTGCTTGTACAGGAAAATAATACCATGTAATTATTTTGAGTCCAGAGTGGTGTTATGAGGCAGGTATCGAGCAGAGAGCTTTTATGGATTTGAGCAGGTAAATATCAGGATGGTGAGATAAAGCTGGATCATTGTTAAGTTCAAGTTGGTATTTTGCAGGTTAGAAGTCAAACAGGAATGCAGAGGAGTTCAGGCTGGCATTAAGCAGGGTTGGAAGCAAGTAGTTCAGCTGGCATTAAGCAAGGTTGGAAGCAAGTAGTTCAGCGGGTATTGAGCAGGGTTGGAAGCAAGTAGTTCAGCTGGTATTGAGCAGGTTTGGAAGCAAGGCATTCTGAAGCAAATAAGATAAGTTCACAGGAGCCAGGATATGAAGTGTTTCAGGCAGATCAACAACTTCAATGCAAAGGCAATGAGGTGAGTTGGGCGTTACCTTTTGTAGGAACCCAATTAGCCCAGGCAGGTGAGGATGATAAGGTGAGTGTCCAGAACTAGAGCCAAGGGAGGCTACTAGTGGTAAAACATAATCCGTGCAGGAACTTTTTTTTTTGTATATGTCTGTGTGTGTCTGTATGTATGTATGTGTGTGTGTCTACATGTCTGTGTGTATGTATGTGTGTCTTTATGTACGTGCCTCTGTGTGTGTGTGTCTATATGTATGGATCTCTGTGTGTATGTGTGTGTGTTTGTATGTATGTGTGTGTATGTGTGTCTGTATGTATGTGTGTCTGTGTGTGTCTACATGTATGTGTGTGTATCTGTTTGATTGCATGTGTGGGAGGGACGGGGACATGTGGGGGGGATTGATGTATGGTGGGCGGGGATGTATGGGGTGGGGGTAGATGTATGGGGGCGGGGACACATGGGGTGCGGGGTAGACGCATGGGTGGGGCCCAGTGCAATATTTGCTCCGGGGCCCCGTGGTTTTTAGTTTTGCCTCTGCCTGCAGGTAATGATTATACTCACCAGAATAATTACATTAAGCTGTAATTGTTCTCGTGACTATAGTGTCCCTTTAACATCCAACAATACAATATTATCATATAAGATTACAATAATATTAGAAGCAAATCGATGCTCAAACACTTAGAATTATGAGTGAGAATCATAAGTAAAAATGGGGAGGAGGTAGGGGAAAGAAATTATAAGAAAATCGGGGAGGGGCATTTATTTCTTTTTAAACAGTAGTGTATTCCTTTCTCTTTATAGATTCAGAACCCCCCTTTTTTGGTTTTAAAAAGAGGAATGGAATCTTACCTGTAATTAACATGGGGGACAGAGCACAGCAATTGCCGTGCTTCACCATTCCAATGCTTCTCAATTCTTCTCCAATCCAATCATTTCCCTGAAATTACTGTAATCTTTTAGCAATTATGAAAATTGCAGAAAAGATAATAATCGACAATGTCTAAAAAAAGGGCCAACATCTACGCACCATAACCACAGCATTTACAAATATTGTTTTTTTGTTGTTTAGATTATCCTTTTAGTAGAGAAAAACAATCAACCCCTGGGGAGAAATCTTTACCCTTTCACAACGATATCGTTTCTTTTTTTTTTTTATTTCCACACTCATTGAAGGCCTTATGCAGGTGTAGCCCCCCTCCTTTAATACTAAAGAAGATAAAACTAACAAACAAAAAAAAACGTAAAAAGATATATGGCAAGATAAGATGACACCTGTGATTCTGAAGCATTATACACACTAGAAAGCCAACGCAAGTAAATAATTACTCAATATATAAGAATAATTGCTGTTGGTTTATTGCTGGTCATATATGCACCTCTCTGGGGAGTTTGTACGAGTCATAAAACAACATTCTAAATGATTAACTAGGTGCATATAAAATAAGGATAAGGACGACTCGTGATCAGGTGCATATGGGCAAACATTAATTCATACAGATTGTATGGGATCAATGAGGAAACATTCAATAAGGTTAGAATACTGGAACTGAAGACAAAGGAGCTATAGCGACTCCCATCTAATACAAAGTCATAGATATGGCTGTTTATGTTTAATGGTTTTTAGAAACCTGCACAATTTTTGTGTGCTATATTTTAAATATGCACCCAAATTCTCTTCACTTTACAGCCTGACTTAACGCATCTCTATAAGGAAAGTTCAGTGTCTACATGTAGAGGGTGGAGACACTGAATGTCAATTACACTGTGCAGCACTGCACCAGGAAGCACCTCTAGCAGCCATCCGAGGAGTAACCAGTGGAGGTGTCCCTAGGCTGTAATGTAAACACTGCATTTTCTCTGAAAAGACAGTGTGTACTGCAAAAAGCCTGAAATAAATGATTATACTCACCAGAACAAATACAATAATCTGCAGTTGTTCTGGTGACTATAGTGTCCCTTTCATTTTAAAACATGAGACAGATACTCAGTAAGACTTGCCAGTGACGTTGTATGTGAATGGTGATATGATTGTCTCTGAAGTAAAGCATTATTTTTTTTTTTTTTATAAATAGATATTGTTTCTGTAATCCTAGTATTAAATTTATGTTTTTTTTTATTTTATTCATATTGTGCACAGTAACAGGTTTTGAGAATTAAGTGATTTGTTAATTATTCTGAAAATAATATAAATAAAAAACAGTGTCGATAGTCTTCCCTGTTTCAGTCCCTGCACAATAACAGGGGAGACCAAACACTGTCTGAGCCAAGGTGGATGTATATGGCTGAAGGATTTTGTCATATACTAAAAAGAGGGATGTGTTTTCTCAGTTTTTACATATACTTCACTTAAAAAAAATTCAAATTCAAAACCTGATGAACGGATTAAGATGTAAGAAATGGTTTTGAGGTGACAGTTGCCATTTAAGTAGCAATTGCTGAGAATTTATAATTAATTTAGGGTCCCAGGATTGCAGCCCTGAAAATAGTATAACCATTACTAAAACTATTTATAAAAATGCCAATATTCTTATATACACGCACGCACGCATGCACGCACACACACTACCAGGAACAAACATACACACATGCCCAGATACAAACACACATACACACTCATAAATACACACATTTTGCAGCATGATACCAGTTTGTGCATTGGTTTTATCACCCTCCTGGTTGTCACATTGTAAGAGCAGGAGTGCTGTCATCTTGGTGTCCAAGGGAAAGGGATATTTTTAAGTCCCCAGCTTTATTACATGGTATAACAGTGCAGAGAAGCAACGGTGTCCCCATCCTTAGCTGGTCCCTTGCAAACTTCTGGTTTCTACCCCCTGATGGGAGCCCTAGCTACTTGAAACATGTTGCACAACATGAATTATAGACAAAATATTTCAATAGTTATGAAAAAATATAAAAAGAAAAATATACACAAAAATTAGTTAACTGGGTAGTGTAGGATAATTAACTATATATACAGGGAGTGCAGAATTATTAGGCAAGTTGTATTTTTGAGGATTAATTTTATTATTGAACAACAACCATGTTCTCAATGAACCCAAAAAACTCATTAATATCAAAGCTGAATATTTTTGGAAGTAGTTTTTAGTTTGTTTTTAGTTATAGCTATGTTAGGGGGATATCTGTGTGTGCAGGTGACTATTACTGTGCATAATTATTAGGCAACTTAACAAAAAACAAATATATACCCATTTCAATTATTTATTATTACCAGTGAAACCAATATAACATCTCAACATTCACAAATGTACATTTCTGACATTCAAAAACAAAACAAAAACAAATCAGTGACCAATATAGCCACCTTTCTTTGCAAGGACACTCAAAAGCCTGCCATCCATGGATTCTGTCAGTGTTTTGATCTGTTCACCATCAACATTGCGTGCAGCAGCAACCACAGCCTCCCAGACACTGTTCAGAGAGGTGTACTGTTTTCCCTCCTTGTAAATCTCACATTTGATGATGGACCACAGGTTCTCAATGGGGTTCAGATCAGGTGAACAAGGAGGCCATGTCATTAGATTTTCTTCTTTTATACCCTTTCTTGCCAGCCACGCTGTGGAGTACTTGGACGCGTGTGATGGAGCATTGTCCTGCATGAAAATCATGTTTTTCTTGAAGGATGCAGACTTCTTCCTGTACCACTGCTTGAAGAAGGTGTCTTCCAGGAACTGGCAGTAGGACTGGGAGTTGAGCTTGACTCCATCCTCAACCCGAAAAGGCCCCACAAGCTCATCTTTGATGATACCAGCCCAAACCAGTACTCCACCTCCACCTTGCTGGCGTCTGAGTCGGACTGGAGCTCTCTGCCCTTTACCAATCCAGCCACGGGCCCATCCATCTGGCCCATCAAGACTCACTCTCATTTCATCAGTCCATAAAACCTTAGAAAAATCAGTCTTGAGATATTTCTTGGCCCAGTCTTGACGTTTCAGCTTGTGTGTCTTGTTCAGTGGTGGTCGTCTTTCAGCCTTTCTTACCTTGGCCATGTCTCTGAGTATTGCACACCTTGTGCTTTTGGGCACTCCAGTGATGTTGCAGCTCTGAAATATGGCCAAACTGGTGGCAAGTGGCATCGTGGCAGCTGCACGCTTGACTTTTCTCAGTTCATGGGCAGTTATTTTGCGCCTTGGTTTTTCCACACGCTTCTTGCGACCCTGTTGACTATTTTGAATGAAACGCTTGATTGTTCGATGATCACGCTTCAGAAGCTTTGCAATTTTAAGAGTGCTGCATCCCTCTGCAAGATATCTCACTATTTTTGACTTTTCTGAGCCTGTCAAGTCCTTCTTTTGACCCATTTTGCCAAAGGAAAGGAAGTTGCCTAATAATTATGCACACCTGATATAGGGTGTTGATGTCATTAGACCACACCCCTTCTCATTACAGAGATGCACATCACCTAATATGCTTAATTGGTAGTAGGCTTTCGAGCCTATACAGCTTGGAGTAAGACAACATGCATAAAGAGGATGATGTGGTCAAAATACTAATTTGCCTAATAATTCTGCACTCCCTGTACATGCTCTTTGTTTTAAAAATGAGTGTAAGCCCCCAGCTATGTGAATACTTCTATTAACTTTCACTATTGATTACATTTTTCAAGTCCTGTCAGTTTTTACCCTGCAGAGAAACAAATTTCTTTGCAACAGCTACTTTCTATTCCTCTGTAGAGGTACTTGTAAATAGTGGTGTCCTTCTACCGTTGCTTAACAACTTTTTTAGGTCAAACTTCACTGCTATATTCTAGCAGTCAGGAGGTGGTGAGGGAGAAACTATGGAGGTTCTATAGGGATTCTTTGCTGGCTACAAGAACAGCTTGTAATGCTTTTGGTCAACCTTTGGCACTCCAGATGTTGTGGACTACATCTCCCCTAATGCTTTGCAAGCATGACATGAGCACAGTCGCCTTGTCGGCCTCTACTTAAGAACCCCCACCAAATACCCCAATCCCCAATAAAGCACAGACACCATGGTTTTGGCAAAATTATATCACAGCTTTATTTGTAATTAACATAAATTTAAAGGTCATTGTCAACAGCAGGCCAACATTGGCCTGCACAATTAACATCCTGCATTTACAATTAACCCCTTGACAATGACCCACCCACCCCCACATAACATAACACCCAAACATTGAACATTTTATTTAACATGAACATGATCATTGCCACCAAAGGGCACCATCCATTGCCACCAAAGGGCATAGTGTAGGGGCATACCGAGACACCCCATACACACCCCGGTTCGGAGCTACCTACGAGCTCGAACCTACCAAACCAGTCCAAAGGCCTTCCTATTAGCCCTGAACTCCAAACTTTTTCCCCATCTCACACTTTTCACCCCCCAACTTTACTCTTTATCCCCTGCACAGTGACCAAACGGGAAACACCTGAAAGCAAAGGGAGGGTGGGTGGGACAACAAACAGGTAGTGTAACTTAGATTAAAGTGATCCTTGGATCTAAAATGGCCACTACTTATACTCCCCTTGAAACTCCACCCCAGCATTACCAGTGACCAAACCCTGACCCCCTGACCTTTAGATGGCCTATCTCCTGGCAATGTCAAGGCCCACTCCCCTTAGCTACGCTGCTCCATGGGCTACATTATGGCTGTAAGAGCTTTATGAGGGATGTAGTCCACAACATCTAGCGTGCTGATGGCTACCTACCCCTGTTAAATATATTATGGGTTTTAATTGGTAGTGTGACTGATAAATAGATACCAATTTGGGGACCCTGGAAAAAGGCTGCAAGCAGTCTGATTAATTTTCAACAAGCTTTATTATATCATGAACACAGGGCAACAAGAAAAGAAAATGTGGAGTCTTAGACCAGATTACCTACAGACACATCTTATGCATTGTGTGCTAAATATCCTTTTATACTGAGCTCCGTACAAATTTCAACAATGGTATTTGACCATTTTTATGTGGTCTGTTATTGTCTAACGTGCTGTATGTGACAGTAAATATAAATCTGCTTCATTAACATTTTTGACACCGACTGCAGAACGTTCTACTGGGTACATTTACATGGTGTTTAGGCAGATTCTATTGGAAAACCCACAGGAGCCTTTTTTTCAAGACACTATTTCTGTATAAGTAAAATGAATAAAATATTGTCTTTGGTTAAAGTGCTACTTATTCATCCCATGTTCAGGGCTCCTGATTATCCCGCTTTGGACAGTGGAAATTTCAGGGTCCTGTTCTCCCGATTTAGTTGTGGAGTGTTAATATACAGGGAGTGCAGAATTATTAGGCAAATGAGTATTTTGACCACATCATCCTCTTTGTGCATGTTGTCTTACTCCAAGCTGTATAGGCTCGAAAGCCTACTAGCAATTAAGCATATTAGGTGATGTGCATCTCTGTAATGAGAAGGGGTGTGGTCTAATGACATCAACACCCTATATCATGTGTGCATAATTATTAGGCAACTTCCTTTCCTTTGGCAAAATGGGTCAAAGAAGGACTTGACAGGCTCAGAAAAGTCAAAAATAGTGAGATATCTTGCAGAGGGATGCAGCACTCTTAAAATTGCAAAGCTTCTGAAGCGTGATCATCGAGCAATCAAGCGTTTCATTCAAAATAGTCAACAGGGTCGCAAGAAGCGTGTGGAAAAACCAAGGCGCAAAATAACTGCCCATGAACTGAGAAAAGTCAAGCGTGCAGCTGCCACGATGCCACTTGCCACCAGTTTGGCCATATTTCAGAGCTGCAACATTACTGGAGTGCCCAAAAGCACAAGTTGTGCAATACTCAGAGACATGGCCAAGGTAAGAAAGCCTGAAAGACGACCACCACTGAACAAGACACACAAGCTGAAGCGTCAAGACTGGGCCAAGAAATATCTCAAGACTGATTTTTCTAAGGTTTTATGGACTGATGAAATGAGAGTGAGTCTTGATGGGCAAGATGGATGGGCCCGTGGCTGGATTGGTAAAGGGCAGAGAGCTCCAGTCCGACTCAGACGCCAGCAAGGTGGAGGTGGAGTACTGGTTTGGGCTAGTATCATCAAAGATGAGCTTGTGGGGCCTTTTTGGGTTGAGGATGGAGTCAAGCTCAACTCCCAGTCCTACTGCCAGTTCCTGGAAGACACCTTCTTCAAGCAGTGGTACAGGAAGAAGTCTGCATCCTTCAAGAAAAGCATGATTTTCATGCAGGACAATGCTCCATCACACGCGTCCAAGTACTCCACAGCGTGGCTGGCAAGAAAGGGTATAAAAGAAGAAAATCTAATGACATGGCCTCCTTGTTCACCTGATCTGAACCCCATTGAGAACCTGTGGTCATCATCAAATGTGAGATTTACAAGGAGGGAAAACAGTACACCTCTCTGAACAGTGTCTGGGAGGCTGTGGTTGCTGCTGCACGCAATGTTGATGGTGAACAGATCAAAACACTGACAGAATCCATGGATGGCAGGCTTTTTGAGTGTCCTTGCAAAGAAAGGTGGCTATATTGGTCACTGATTTGTTTTTGTTTTGTTTTTGAATGTCAGAAATGTATATTTGTGAATGTTGAGATATTATATTGGTTTCACTGGTAATAATAAATAATTGAAATGGGTATATATTTGTTTTTTGTTAAGTTGCCTAATAATTATGCACAGTAATAGTCACCTGCACACACAGATATCCCCCTAACATAGCTATAACTAAAAACAAACTAAAAACTACTTCCAAAAATATTCAGCTTTGATATTAATGAGTTTTTTGGGTTCATTGAGAACATGGTTGTTGTTCAATAATAAAATTAATCCTCAAAAATACAACTTGCCTAATAATTCTGCACTCCCTGTACTGGCACTGATGTGGTTGAAAAAATACTGAATTACCGTATATACTCGAGTATAAGACGAGTTTTTCAGCACATTTTTTGTGCTGAAAAACCACTCGTCTTATACTCGAGTCACTGTCTGTATTATGGCAACTTACATTGCCATAATACAGACCAGGACCGCCGGGCTCATTACAAGCCCGGCGGTCCTGTTGGGGGCTGGCAGCGAGCTGTTACTTACCTTTCCTGCAACTCCTGTCAGCTCCCTTCTCCTCCGTGTCGGTCAGCTCTCCTGTCAGCTCCAGTGTAAGTCTCGCGAGAGCCGTGGGGTCAGAGCGTTGCCACGGGTTACTGTAGCAACGCTCCGCGCAGCACTCAGACCGCGAGACTTGCAGAGGGAGCTGACAGGGGAGCTGACCAGAACGGAGGAGAAGGGAGCTGACAGGAGCTGCAGGAAAGGTAAGTTACAGCTCTCTGCCAGCCCCCCCCTACACAGCCCATCCACTGGACCACCAGGGAATAAAATTAAATAATAAAAAATATAATATTACAATAAAAAAAATATTAATAATATAAAAAAATAATAATAATAATTAAAAAAATAATAATAATGCCCACCCCCCACCAAGGCTCTGCATAACATACACAAACACACACTGCATTCATACACACACACTGCATTCATACACACACAGACTGCATTCATACACACACACACACTGCACTCATACACACACAGCACTCATACACACACTGCACTCATACACACACACACTGCATTCATACATACACACTGCATTCATACACACACACACTGCATTCATACATACACACTGCATACACACACACACTGCACTAAGTTTCCCAGTTTTGGGGAGTAAAATTAGGGGATTTTGACTTATATTCGGGTCGACTTATACTCGAGTATATACGGTATTTCTTTTTTTCATCCTCCTTTCTTTTTAGACTTCCGTATGCTCAATTATACATAAGGCTCAGATATTTGTGTATATTATTTGGTGTTTCACTATCTTTTTCTTCTCATTAGTAATTCTTAATTCCTCTGTAAATATGTTGAATGGCGTTTTGCCATTGTATTTTAGATAGTAGCTATTGCTGTTCATTTAACATTTAATATTGTTGATATTTTTATAAAACAAACACTTCTAAGGGAAGCTGGACTTTCTTGCTCTCCAAAGACATTCAAGTTTATGTACTTTACCTTCCTGAAATGATGATGAATCATTGCATAACTCAATGCAGTACAAATGATTGACCACCGTACCTGTTACAGAGCAGGCATAGATAACAATTTTACACATTCACCTGACATTCTATTGCTTCTCTACCTATCAGCAGTGCAGGGAATGAGGTCATGTATCACGTGAAAGGAAATTTTGAAGTGATCGAGTGTTGTCAGCCCAGGCTAAAGACAAACCTGTTGAACTATCACTTTATTACAGAACCGTGACCTTCAAAATGTTTGCGTAGCAGCTTGCAGTGGCTTGATGCAACCAAATTGTGAATTATAGCTCTACTATATGTAGCAAATTATAATTTTTTTAATATTATGAATGTGTTCTGAAGCTGTGTAAGATTTTTACTTTGTTTTCTCTGCCGTGAAAAACCTATTGGTCTATAAAAAGGCAAGTCCAACTTATCTTATTAAGAGATCATGCATTTAGACTGGAAGAAAGGAGATTTCATCTAATGCAAAGGAAAGAGTTTTTTTACAGTAATAACAGCAAGGATGTGGTATTTCATGCATAAAGAAGTGGTCTGCACAGATATTTAAACAGCGATTGGATGAATACTTGCATAAACATAATATTCAGAAATATCATTTTTAATTTGTGGGGTAATAGCTTCATGATCCAAGCAGCGATCTGACTGCCATTCTGGGGTCAAGGAGGAATTTATTCCCAGTTTGTTGCAAAAAAGGAAAGCACTTCAAACTTTTTTTTGCCTTCTTTTGGATTAACAGCAAAAGCTGATGTGAGCAAAGCTGAGCTTGATGGATGTGTGCCTCTTTTCAGTCTATGTAACTATGTTAGAGTGCACTATGGCACACATACAAAATGTTATATCTCATACATGTAGAAATCCGTGCTCACTCCGTTACACTATTGGAAGACAGATCCCTCCTACCAACAAAGGGAACTATAAGAAATCAAAGTCAAAGCTTGTGATCTATTTGATTAGTAGTGATTTAAACTCCTTAATTACATGTTAAAAACCTTTCAGAACTATAAGGCTTAACGTGATGAGATATTTTGAAAATACCTTTTCTAATTTCCAAGTAACCGAGGGAATGTTCACAAAGCATTTTTCTTGCTTCTTTAAGTAATGAAAAAAAAATGTTTTAAAAAGTTACACCAAGAATCATAATCCTCATAATGAAACACTGCACATACAGACTCCAGTCCCAGTGACTACTTCAAATCAGCAAAGTAGTTATGGTTATTGGAGTAACCCTTAATAGCTAATTTTATATAACCCAGTCTACCTTAATCTCAGTTGTTCAAGGTTTTGTATTTATTTTGGGAATAATACTAAAAAAAAAAAAAAAAACGTCAACATATAAACAGTTTATTAATAAATGTTATGAAATGTTTTAAAAGGTTAATCAGGCTAGTAACAATAAAGATATGGTAAAAAATGGTGGTGATTCCTTTTACTTTGTATCCGGTCTTGTTAACCGAGCCGATTATGTCACAGATCTAATAAAACACCATTACTACTGTCACTAATATGAACAAACATTGATAAAGCTTGCTGTCTTTATACCAGTCTGTGCTATAACTCACCGCTGCGCTGGTGATGTGTTAGTATGTAACATTACAGTTACATAATTACAATAAAGATAAAAATCGGCTCTTTTTATACATCGCTTCCTGGTATTCAGACGGGTGTTGACCTCTTTACCTCACATTATACCATGAAATTCCGTCAGACGGGTTTATCTGACCACAGTATCTCCTGATTTTAATTTCTTCCCAAATGTTTACTTGTCAAGCAGAAAAATAGAAGGCAAAGAGGTATTGTTCATCCCCATATAGGCAGGGCCGGTGCAAGGACATTTGGCTAAACAGGTGAAGATGCATTTTGCTGCACCCTGCACCCCCCCCCCAAAAAAAAGTATCTTAACCTGTGTACCTGTGTCCCCTTTAGTGTTTCATATCCCCTCTTAAATGTCTTACCCCTTTTGCTCCTTTGTGTGTGTGTTACACACCCTTTAGTGTATTATATCACCCTATTTAGTGTGTCTTAAACACCCTTGTTTCTCTTACTTCCCCACCAGCCCCTTTCTGTGTAACTTTGCGTTACTGTGGGGGATATAGCAGAATTGTGTGGGATACAGACTGTCAGGATTACAGTTGATCCAGCCCGCAGAATAGTATCACACCTAGGACTAAGGATAACGTCTAATCGGCCCTTAGAATGGGCGGACTTAACGTACCAGAGAATAGTCAAAATACTAGCCGAGGTCAGGGACACAGAACGAGACACAGTGATAAGGAAAAGCCAATAGTCAAGGATGCCAGAAGTCAGGGAAGTCAAAACAAAGCCAAAGTCAAAAACCAAAGTCAAAAATCAGGAACACACTCTAACCATCTAAGGGAAACCACGACAAGGCAATGAGTTTAAGGAATAAGTGAATTTAAATAACTCTCTTGCAGATCCGATTAGCCATACCTAGCCTTTGACCCCAAAACGTGCATGTGCGTCTTTTGCGTGACGTCACCCGCACGTCAACGTCGTCTTTACCATGGATGGACGTGGGGCTATATAATAGCGTGGGTCCGCAGTGGCCGGAGTCCACCAACATGTCGCAAAAGCCAGGCATCATAGCCAAGCGGCACTCCTCTTATTCTTAGGAAGGTAATTATCTCCGTGTTTGTCACATGGAGACGAAGGATATGTGACACAGACGTTATTATTATTTATATAGCGCCAACAAATTCTGTAGTGTTGTACAATAGGGTTGTAGTGGGGGGATAAGGGCAGTATTGTGTGGGACAAGGGCTTTAGCGGGGGGGGAGATATTGGTAGTATTGGGGGATAGAGGCTTTAGAGTGGGGGAATTGGGGAAGAATTGTGTGTAATATGGACTTTATTACTATTATTTATATAGCGTCAACAAATTCTGTAGAGCTGTACAACTGGGTTTTACTGGGGGATAGGGGCAGTGCTGTGTGTGGCACGGGCCTTAGCTGGGGGAGATAGCAGTAGTATTGGGGAATTGAGGAACCTTTGACTATAACCCTAACTCCTATTGCTCCTAACCTAAATGTAATTTCTAACTCCATCACCCATAACCCCTTTCGTTATTTTGTATTGTAAAAAAACTTCCAAATCCAGAACATTAGCTTAACTAAGTGTCAAACCTTACCTGCAGTTCTATTTTCCTCATAGGCCAACAGTCACTACCCAGGATTTCTAATATGAAGTTTAATCATCTGCTTTATTTTACAAATATGTAATCCAGTGCATCTGACAGTCAGCATAGATAAATATACAAATAAGACAAATGAAACAAGGTTTCTATTTACCTCCTCGTTTGCAATGTTTACCATGGCATTGTCCTGTTTGAAGTGGATTACGGTGGTACATGTTTAATCTTTAATATAAATTTAAAATAAAATGAGGCATCACATACTAAAAAGGTTAACATACTGGTTACATGTGATTTTAAATGTTTTATTCAATGGTATAAATTATAGAGAGGTGAAAATACAAATTTAAAGGGACACTATAGGCACCAAAACAACTTTAGCTAAACAAAGCACTTTTGGTGTATACAAATGCGAAAAGATAAGTCCTGCGCACACTCCCATCACTACTGGGCAGCAGCAATGACTACAATACACATCAGCCCCAATATATTGTAAAAACCAAAGAAAAACAAGTTGCCTGCGCTCTCTCCTTAATCCCTATGTATTTTTAAACAAATGGAGGTTTTTTAGTTACCTCCAATGGCCATGAGAGGATAAGCCCACCTGCCAATGTCAAGGCAGACCCCCCTAGGTGGCTCCTAACTCTAACCATTCAGCTTGCTTCCTTGAGACTCTGGCAGAAATATCTCTAATGAGACAGAAGGGGGTATTTTTTTATATACACCCCTATATATTATTAACCCTTAATAGGGAACACACGGGTTAATTAAGGGTAAATAAATGTATAGGGGTGTATATAAAAAAATACCCCCTTCTGTCTCATTAGAGATGTTTTTTGCCAGAAGCTCAAGGAAGCAAAGTGAATGGTTAGAGTTAGGACCCACCTAGGGGGGGTCTGCCTTGAGTTTTATTTGTTTATGCCACCCTAGCCACACCTCACTGCATGTGACTGACACAACCTTCCTAAACACTTCCCATAAAAAGAGATCTAATGTTTAAACTTCCTTTATTGCACAATCTGATTAATTTGGAATTTATCTCTTGCTCTGGTAATAGTCGGTTTAAGTCTGCAGGAGCCTCTTGTGTGTGAGCCTGTTACTCACACAGGCTGTATGAAAATAAATGGTTTCACTTTCAATCAGATGTAACTTATTTTAAAAGCTTTTATCTCCTCCTCTGTAAATTAAACTTCAATTATATTCAGGAGACTCCTGTAAAGTCAAAGAAGCTATTAACAGAGCAGGAGATGTGAAAATCTAAATTAAACTATATTTTAATAGGGGAAGTGTAAACAATAGATGACTCTGCGGGAAGTGTTTGGAGGGCTGTGTAAGTCACATGCAAGGAGGTGTGCCAGGGCTGTATAAACAAAGTGATTTAACTCCTAAATGGCAGAGATTTGAGCAGTAAGACTGCAGGAGCATGATCTATATACCAAGACTGCTTCATTAAGCTAAAATTGTTTTGGTGACTATAGTGTCCCTTTAAAAAAAAAATAATTTTCATGTAGACCGTGTCAGTCACAGTCAGTAGACATGCGGCTAGGGCTGCATTAACAGAAACAAAATTGATTTAACTCCTAAATGGCAGAGAATCCAGCAGCATTACCACAGGGTTATGATCTAAACATTAAAACTGCTTCATTAAGATAAAAATGTTCTGGTGCTTAGAGTATTCCTTTAAGCCTCATTTTTACTCTCAGAATCTACTCATGCAGAATGTAAGACTCCTTTACCCTTAACACACAGTTGAAACTCACTGTAATGGAGCCCCTGTGATATGAGTTAAATTGTGCTTCTGTAAAATGAGTTACTTGTAGTCCAGTGCTGGGACAGACTGATCAGCCTGTAGTGAGATCACCAAGCATGATTATATCTGTCCAAGACAAAGCCGTAGAGACTTTGTGATAGCAAAGCGACAGAGCCAAGGCAACAAAGCCATTACATGAAGTTGCAGTGGCTTTTGGTGCCTAGTCTGTCCCTCTCCGGATTCACTCTGACTCTGAGCATTCAGAAGGAAACCTCTCGTACTTATATAGTGTTCTATTTTTATCAGTTATTTTGCAAACGTAACACGTCGGTCATGGTATATGCAAACAATGTACGTTACATTCCGTTGCTCACTTCCTCTTCTTAGAATTGTCCCCGGGCAAAGGATCTCTCCCTTGTGATTGGAAAGCAGAATGTCTCATGATATCAGACTACCGTTCTAGAGGAAGAAACTGCTCTAAAGAATCACGTTATAAGAGCTTAGAGTCAGATCTGTCCCACAGCTCTACATTTGTATAATTCAAGAGTGACATTTATTAGAAATGCTTTTCTCCCAGGGCTACCCTGGGTTATCATCTTTTACTAAAACACCCATGATGCTTTACCAGTTATAATTTGGCAAAGTTATAGGGGGGGTTCTGGTTTTACATCCACTCGGCTTCTACCTTTTGGCTAGCCTGTTTAATTTTTTTTGTTTCGGAATAAAATGGCACGATTCTTCAATCGCAGCAAACATAATAATTTAAAATAGTTGTTTATATAATGTAAATAATGTGCTTGTAAAGAATGTCCCACCCCTCTGTTGTTTGTTGTACAATTTCTACTTGTTCTGTGTAGCTGTAGAATTGACACTGTTGTACCATACCAGAATCATTTGAAGGTTAATTGTCCAGAATAAGTTAATGGTTCATTTTTTTTTTTTTTTTAGTAATAATCATCTTCTAGAATTCCAAAATGATGCATGTGAACGTATACTGAGAGCTTACACATGAATAAACATATTCTCATGGCTACATTTCGAGGTTATAAAGAAAAACCTCACCTAAACAACAGAATTCTTCCAGAGTACTAATATTCAGAGAATACAAATTATAAAGTCAAATGAGTCAATCATTTTATACTAGCAATATATCTTTTGGCCTGTGTGGTTTATAACCATTTTTATGCATGTATATTATGTAATGATTATGCCAGCTGTCTCCCCATCTTTTTCGTTATACGTTTTCCAGTTCACCTCTTAAAAACAAATCTATGTTTTGGCTATAATCCAGCTAGCTTCCCTGTGGAGTTTGGGAAAAATAGAGCTTAGTGAGGCATAGTGATGGAATACAATGTAATATGACATCATAGCTTGATGACAATGACAGTAGGTATGACTTCACTGTTGCACAGGGCATTGAGGGTTCACTGCTGTCTGTGTAGCACTATACTCACTGAGATACAGTTATCTACTCTCTTAATCTTCTGTGGGTGTCTCTGCCCTCTCTCCATTGCATAGAGAGTTGTAGAGATATAGAATTACTGTCACATAAATGGCATTTGCAGGGTAAGGTAAGGGTAATGCAATGCTGGGTTCGTGAGTTACTGAGTTTGTGAGTTTGCTTTATGAAGTCTCTAAGACCCCCACTGTCCAGGAAGCACAACGCCTTATGTAAAACAAATTGTTTGAGTAAATAAAAAATAAATAAATAAATAAAAACCAAAGCAACGGGAAACAATGAAACATGCTTCAACTTGTAGGTGAAACTCTAAGCTTCCCCATTGTTAGAATTGTAAAGAGTATGACAGGCTTCACTACCAGATAGAAATAGATGTGTATATTCAATTTCCAATGAATTGCAATTCATCTGAATTATGGGCGCTTAGTGGGTGTGCTACTCTGAATCCGTCATACAGACATATCGCCTAATAAAGGACATGGACAATGGACGAACAGTTTGGTTTGTGACTCAGAGTTCCGTCTATGGTACCAAAAAAGAGGTGATTGATGGGGAAAAAATATGATGGATGGTTAGGGGACAGACACTGAATGTTGATTTTATTCACAGATTAAATGAAAAGGGACCAATACAAAAAACGTGGGAGCAGTACAAAAAAATCTTTATCTATATATTTATGTATGATGTCGTCTTCTCACTTGATCTGTGATCCAAATAGAAGTAACATGTGCCTATCAGTGTACTTCAAAATATATACATGTTATATTTACACTGATCAGCCATAACATTAAAACCACTGACAGATGAAGTGAATAACATTGAATATATTGTTACAATGGCACCTGACAAGGGGTAGGATATATTAGGCACCAAGTGAACAGCTAGTTCTTGAATTTCATGTGTTGGAAGCAGGAAAAATTGGCAAGCGAAAAATAGTAATAGTTGGACGCCTGGGTCAGAGCACATCCAAAACAGTAATTCTTGTAAGGGGCTTCCCAGTTTATAGTGGTTCGTACCTGACAATGGGTGAACCGGCGTAAGGTAATGGGTGCCCAAGGCTCATTGATGCACGTGGGGAACGAAGGCTAGCCTGTCTGGTCTGATCCTACAGAAGAGATCTTTGAGGAACATGACAAAGAGTTCAAGGTGTTGCCGATCTTTGGAGACCTAACCTCGCAACTTGCAGGACTTAAAGGATCTGTTGTTAATGTATTGGTGAAACAACAAATACACTCAACCACCCGTGAACAAAGTGATCTGTGTAAAATATATCAAACACAAAACTTAACTTATAGGTACACTGCTTCCCAAGGTTATTTCCCAGCTGATAACCATATAACAAAACTGTGTAATTGATAGGATATTTAGGGATTCTGCCAGTGTACCTGCAATAGAGGATAAAACATAGTGCAAATATTGTTTTATACTTTAAAATAATATAATGATTTGTATGCACTCACAAATTCCAAATTGGTAAAGATAATTATGGGTGCTTCCCCACGATGTAGATGTTTTTTTTTTTTTGTTAAATATCCCTCCTCGAGTGATAGCCAATGGGGTATCAGGGTCAGCAAGATGGTCCAACAGACTCCAACCAGATGAATACTTCAAAGGCGATTTATTAATGTATTGGTGCCAAATGCACAGGACACATTCAGAGGTCTTAAGGATTCGATGCCTCAAAGCATTAAGCTGTTTTGGCAGTATGAGGGGGACCTACAAGATATTTGTATTAATTAAGGTGGTTTTAATGTTGTGGCTGATCAGTGGATGATATGTATATATTTTGCAGTACACTGTTTGGCCAATTTTCACGCATTTTTAAGTGCCAAATAAATGTTTCTTAAACAATTGCATGGTCGATATTGGGCTTAACTAAAGCACCCCATGGACTAATTTCGACCGAACAAAATTTGTTTCTGGATGAATTGATTCGGCTGAACGTATCCACTGTGCACATGTCTATATATAATCAGTGTGAATTACATAGAAATAAATAGCAAGATCCTATATAGCGCTTCCCTGCTCTTTGAGCCCTTTTCAAGTAAACTGTCTATTAAATTGTCAAATTACACCTCACTGAATTCACTTTCAAAGTGTCATTGTTAAAAAATTTGAGTTAAAAAAGTGCATTTTTACAGTGATACTATAACAGTATCCATAGCGTAATAGTGATGCTATAATGATACAGTGCACATAGTGTAATAGTGATGCTATAATGACAGTGCACATAGTGTAATAGTGATGCTATATCAACACAGTGCACATAGTGTAATAGTGATGCTATAATACAGTGCACATAGTGTAATAGTGATGCTATAATGGCACAGTGCACACAGTGTAATAGTGATGCTATAATGGCACAGTGATCATAGTGTAATAGTGATGCTATAATACAGTGCACATAGTGTAATAGTGATGCTATATCAACACAGTGCACATAGTGTAATAGTGATGCTATAATACAGTGCACATAGTGTAATAGTGATGCTATAATGGCACAGTGCATCATAGTGTAATAGTGATGCTATAATGACAGTGATCATAGTGTAATAGTGATGCTATAATACAGTGCACATTGTGTAATAGTGATGCTATAATGACACAGTGCACATAGTATAATAGTGATGCAATAATGGCACAGTGCACATAGTGTAATAGTGATGCTATAATGACACAGTGCACATAGTGTAATAGTGATGCTATAATGGCACAGTGCACATAGTGTAATAGTGATGCTATAATAACACAGTGCACACAGTGTAACAGTGATGCTATAATAACACAGTGCACATAGTGTAATAGCGATGCTATAATGACACAGTGATCATAGTGTAATAGTGATGCTATAATGACACAGTGATCATAGTGTAATAGTGATGCTATAATGGCACAGTGCAATAGTGATGCTAGAATAACACAGTGCAATAGTGATGCTATAATGGCACAGTGCACATAGTGTAATAGTGATGCTATAATAGCAGGGTGCATATTGTGTAATAGTGATGCTATAATGACACAGTGCACATAGTATAATAGTGATGCTATAATGACACAGTGCACATAGTGTAATAGTGATGCTATAATGACACAGTGTACATAGTGTAATAGTGATGCTATAATAACACAGTGCACACAGTGTAACAGTGATGCTATAATAACACAGTGCACATAGTGTAATAGTGATGCTATAATGACACAGTGCACATTGTGTAATAGTGATGCTATAATGACACAGTGCACATAGTGTAATAGTGATGCTATAATGACACAGTGCACATTGTGTAATAGTGATGCTATAATGACACAGTGCACATAGTGTAATAGTGATGCTATAATAACACAGTGCATAAATATATATATATATATATATTAAAACCTAAACCATTTAAAGTAAAATGTATTTAAAAAGAAAAAACATTTTCAGGAGACCCGACTCCTTCCTTATTCCTTATCTATTGGGTGAACAAGCTGATATGGGCAATAACTATTGGCACCCCTGCTTTGGGCGGAGAGTCGGGAAACAATCTCTCCGCATAGCACTATGATAGAAAGAGTTAAAAATAAACATAATAATAACATTATTAATAATAAACATTTGTGTTGGCTGCTACAACACAGAACAATAATGTAATTTGATCCTAGAGGCAGCATGACCAAGTTTTGTAGGCCAAAGGTAGAAGGGAAAAAAGTCAACATTTTCAAAAGCAATACAAACATTAAAGATAAAGTATCTCCCTGGGGTGGTGCGTGGAATCAGTGCCAGCACAGGAGGCGCACAGCGTAGGACTGACCTAACCAGATCGCATTCAGATTACATGTTCAACTCATAGGAAATGTCAGCATTACATACTTGTGAAATCTCTGGTAGACAGGTTTTACAGAGCGGCAGTAAACTAACAGGATGATTCACTGAAGTGAAAATTCAAAGTGAAGTCAAAGTGAATGTGAAATTTAAGGTAAAAAAAGCCAGAATGAAAATATTGTCTAAGTCCTCTGTCCTCGAGTTCGGCTTCTTCAGGCTTCAATTTGAAATTGAGTTTGACCTGATTTCGAAGTGTCACGTTAGTGAATAATGCCATTAGCAAGCAGTTAATTTTATTTTACATCTTACTCTTTCAGGGTTATTCGATAAATGGGACAATTCTGGGAATAGCTGGAAAGGAGACAGAGGGGATTTTTTCTCCTCAATTTTCCAAATCCAAGTCGGATATTTTAAATGTAAATTCTCTTTGAATTTCCAATGTCTCCCTCTTTAGTGCATACCCTGCCTGTCTATTCTTGAGTATGCCTTTCACGTTTACTAGTGAAGCATTAAGTGTTTGGGGGGGTTTGCTATTCTAACACAGAAGTGGATTGTCATTTTGTGAAAACATATTAAGTGACACAATATATATTCTGGAACTGGGGCTGAGAATAACGTTTGTAGTACGTTTTGGCTAAATTCTAGCTTAATGTATATCGCTAACTACTAAATTGAATTCCAAAACGTAACTTCTAGCCTCAATACCTAAGTTTAACCCCAGAGCATATTATTAGCTTCAAATCACAAAAGCTTAACGCACTGAGAAAAGTGGTCTTTAACGCTGTTAACGCCGGTGGTAAGCAGCCCCCACTGGTTCGGTATATTTACTTTGCCCTGTGATCCCTATCATGGAGACTGCCTGACAACGCAGGCAGTTCCCCTGCAACCAAGCCCTTCATCACAGTCACATGACTAAATCAGCAGTCCTGTCAGCATGGGTTGTTAGGCAATCCCCAAAAATAAAAATTATAATAATCCCCCCATTAAATAATATAACATATATATATACTCAGTCAAAAGGCAGGCTCTCTTTTTCAGGTCTACCCCTTTTGTCGGTTTTGGCATACCACAACCGACTTGCTATAACTCAATCTTATTGTATCCCTCAGCCTTTGACCCAACCACAAATATATATCTAAAATATATATCTAAATAGATATATATTTGTGGTTGGGTCAAAGGCCAAGGGATACAATAAGATTGAGTTATACCAGTAGTAGCAAGTTGGTTGTGAAAAGCCAAAACCGACAAACGGGATAGGCCTGAAAAAGAGTGCCATGCCTATTGAATGAGTATAAAAAGAGAGAGGTGGGTGGGATTAAAAAAACTACAGGACTACAGGAGGATGCTGGGAGAAGGGAGGTATAAATAGACTAGCAACAAACCTTTCCCATATATATATATATATAATTGATTTTCTCCTGGTTGGTATGTTTATTCCTCATTCTCAGTTCCTCTACCAGAGGCCTGGGAGTTTGAGGGTTCTGCGCAGTATCTTAGCTGTTCCTAGAACTGCACTCTTCTGGACAGTGATCTCAGATGTCCCACCTGGACTCTGTTGAAGCCACTCCCCCAACTTGGGAAACACAGCCCCCAGTGCTCCTATAACAACTGGGACTACTACTGCCTTCACTTACCACATCCTTTCTTGTTCTTCTTTCAGTCCTTGGTATTTGTCCACCTTCTCATGTTCCTTCTTCCTGATGTTATAGTCACTGGGTATTGCCACATCCACCACGACTACAGTCTTTCGTTCCTTGTCTACCACCACGATGTCTGGTGGGTTGGCCAGCACTTGCTTGTCTATCTGGATCTTGAAGTCCCACAGGATCTTAGCACTGTCATTCTCAACTACCCTTTGTGGTATCTCCCATCTTGACTTAGGCAGATTCAATCCATATTCTGGGCAGATGTTTCGGTACACAATCCCAACAACTGGGCTGTGTCTCTCCGTCTATGCTGTTCCTGCTAACATCTTGCATCCAGCTACTAGGTGCTGGACTGTCTCAGAGGCCTCTTTGCACAGTCTGCACCTTGGGTCTTGCCTGGTGTGGTAGACTCCAGCTTCTATTGATCTGGTGCTGAGTGCCTGCTCTTGTGCTGCTAAGATTAGTGCCTTAGTGCTGTCTTTCAGTCCTGCCTTTTCCAACCACTGGCAAGATTTTGTCATGTGAGCCACATCCACTATCTGCCGGAGGTACACCCCATGGAGAGGTTTGTCTTGCCAAGGAACCTCCTCTTTTCTGTATCTTCGATCTGTGGAAGTCTCAGGTATTCCCTTAGCAGTTCATCTTTGGGAGCCATCTTCGTGATGTACTTGTGGAGGCTCTTTGTTTCATCCAGGACTGTGGCCTTGACACTCATCAGGCCCCGACCTCCTTCCTTCCGGCAGGTGTACAGTTTCTGGGTGCTGAATTTCGGGTGCAATCCTTCATTCATAGTGAGTAGTTTCTTGGTCTTGAAATCCATGGTGACCAGTTCTTCTCTTGGCCAGGTTATTATTGCAGCTGGGTACCTTATGACATCCACTATCTGCCGGAGGTACACCCCATGGAGAGGTTTGTCTTGCCAAGGAACCTCCTCTTTTCTGTATCTTCGATCTGTGGAAGTCTCAGGTATTCCCTTAGCAGTTCATCTTTGGGAGCCATCTTCGTGATGTACTTGTGGAGGCTCTTTGTTTCATCCAGGACTGTGGCCTTGACACTCATCAGGCCCCGACCTCCTTCCTTCCGGCAGGTGTACAGTTTCTGGGTGCTGAATTTCGGGTGCAATCCTTCATTCATAGTGAGTAGTTTCTTGGTCTTGAAATCCATGGTGACCAGTTCTTCTCTTGGCCAGGTTATTATTGCAGCTGGGTACCTTATGACCGGTAGGACATATATGTTGATTGCTTGGATCTTGTTCTTGCCATTGAGCTGGGACTTCAGGACCTGTCTGACTCTTTGGAGGTACTTGGATGTTGCTATCCTCCTTGTCTCTTCTTCATGGTTGCCATGCGTTTGTGGTACCCCCAGGTACTTGTAGCTGTTCTCTTTGGCCTACAGGAAATTCAACTCCTTCTGTCCTGATCATCTTACCTCTTTTTGCTATCATCTGCCCGCACTTCTCTTGTCCGAACGACATTCCAATGTCCTTGCTGTATATCCTAGTTAGGTGGATCAGTGAGTCAATGTCTCGATCATTCTTGGCATACAGCTTGATGTCGTCCATGTCGACTAGGTGGCTGATGGTAGCTCCACTCTTGAACCTGTATCTGTATCCACTCTTCTTGATGATCTGGCTAAGGGGGTTTGTTATGCAAACAAATATATATGTTTGTATATATATACACAAACATATATATTTCTAATTTCATTGTTAGTGTATTTTGATATTTTCAAAATAAAAAAAAACAATATATGTAAGCACAGCTTAATATTAATATATATATATATATATATATATATATATATATATGTATTGATATAAAAAACACTTAGAATTAAATTACATATATCTAAATGTCCAATGCCTGGCATTCACATCTCCCTGTCTTCGTACCTTGGTGCAAACTCTAATCTCTATCTATCTATCTATCTATCTATGCGAGCCGTTTACTTTACCTCACAGTAATTAGCGGCTCTGCTGTGTGGCTAACAGTTAAGCTGTCTCCCCAGTCGGAGTACAGAATCCCCCTAAGTGTCTAGCCCTCTGTCTTCTGCGGCCCCCCTCAGTGCAGTACATGCAGTAGGTGTCAGGGTGGCGGTCCGGTGCCCGGGACCCAGACTCTGTCCGGGCGGCCCTGGGAGGACCAGGACCCAGTATGCCTGATGGTAAGTAGGAGTCACAGTGTGGAGGTGGATTAGCAGGGTCTGGTGCAGGGTAACCGCACGCCTCCTGGTGTTGAGCACCAGCATTTGAGCGGCCACATACCAGAACCCTGATGCAGCTACAGCGGATCCCAGAGCAGACAATGCTGAGATGTATCCAGTACTAGAAGCAAGATAAGACTAGGATAGACACCAAACAAGAAAACAAGACAAAACTAGTAGAACCCAGAACCAGAGAAGGATAGGAAGCTAAACCCAGAACATGTACACAAGACACGAGGGAAACATGAACATAACATGGGCAGGACTGGGCAGGACTGTACATGGACTGGGAATACAAACTAAAACAAGACAAGATAAAATAGGCAAAACAAGAGTAGACATAACTAAGCACTATATATGAAAATCATGGGGATTTAGTCACATTATATGATCATACATTGCATAAGCCTGCCAACAACGCCAATGTACCCCATATCTGGCAGGTCCTACTCTGCCTAATGTATGCTAAAACAACCAAAGAAAACACACATAGTCCTTACCTGCAAGAAAAGGCAGAAGACTTGAGCAGCTGCCTGCAGGACACTGAAACCAAAGGAATGATGGAAAACAAACATGTGTGGCAACATAAAACAAACATTTAAAGGAAACCTGGAGACTGGGAAATCCAGGGACGGAATACAGGAATGAACCCAGAAACCCATCATAAAGAAAACCAGACATAGAATAGAAAACCAAAAAAAACAAGAAAAAATAAACAAGAATTGTAAAAAGAGTACTGGATACCAGAAGCCAAGTCAGACATCAGAACAGAGCAGAGCAGATCCTGACAGTAGGACACCATAATGAAGGTGTCGGCAGCCAGGAACGGAACTAAGCCAGCAGCAGCGCTTTTGGTGTGAGGAGTGGAGCCGCTAGGAGTCAGTCTAGACTTCACTCTAGCCAGAAGTCACACCACCACAGATACAACAAGTGTAAGTGTATTGATTGGCTGCAGTGCACACACAGTGTGCTATACATAGTAAGCTAATTTCCAACACACACACACAAACAGAAACACACTTCATCCCAGCACACACAGGCACACACATAGACACACTGCATCCCCAACACAGACACACTGTATCACCAGCACATACACAGACACACTGCATCCCCAACACAGACACACTGTATCACCAGCACATACACAGACACACTGCATCCCCAACACAGACACACTGTATCACCAGCACAAAGACAGACACACTGCATCCCCAACACAGACACACTGTATCACCAGCACATACACAGACACACTGCATCCCCAACACAGACACACTGTATCATCAGCACAAAGACAGACACACTGCATCCCCAACACAGACACACTGTATCACCAGCACATACACAGACACACTGCATCCCCGGCACAGACACACTGTATCACTAGCACATACACAGACACACTGCATCCCCGGCACAGACAACACAGAGGCATACTACACCCCCAGCAGAAACACACTCCTCTACACACATAGTATCGCCCATACACATACAAGGTCCCCTATACATACAGTGATGGTATGTGCTCCACACAAACACTCACATTTGCTCACACTACAGAAACACAGACCTATCATCAATAAACCAAGTCATTTCAAATAGCAACCCTACACACACTGATTTTGTTTTGGTACACAGAAAATAAAATTACCGACCCATTAATAGAAACGCCTTTTCACTTATAGAAATCGACAACTGAAACGTAATAAACTGCTGACAACACATTTCAGCAATTTAAAAAATATTCCAAAATAACAATTCTAACAATTTACCAACAAATGAATAAGTTGCATGAACAAAACAAACACTACACACACCTTGCTATATTTTATGAGTAAACCTTATAACATGCTTCCTGTTTGATTAATTAAAGGAAAGTTCCAATGAGAACTGTTACACTAAATGATTTACAATACAAAAAATGTCTTATCTGAATGAGCTTAAAGAATACACAGAGTTATCCGTTTTCATTTGGAACCCAGCAGGTTAATTCTGCTCAAGTTAGCTATTATAATTACTGCTGTGATGTATTTCCCGTCAATTGTAAACTTGTTTGAGCAGAACCTTCTTCATTATTTATAATTGCAAAGTGCTGCTTTATACGATGGTGCAATATAAATGCTATTAATAAAAATTGCTAAGTGCGCAAAATAGCCATTTTATTTGCCATTAACCTGGTGAACTTGCATATCAACCTCCCGATTGTGTAAACAAGAAACATTAAAAGTCATGTTCTGAGTTGATAACAGTTATTCACTTCTTCAGCATTATAAGCAGAAAACGAATAAGACATGTATCTATTGTGAATGTGCTGATGCTCTAAAAATGTTCTAAAACCGAAAACAGCACG